GTCAAATCTAGCAATATTTTCAAATGCAGACTGGCCTCCTGCATTCTTGTGTTTACGCAAGGCGAAAATGTTAGAATATTTTTCAATACAGCATCACCCTTGTTATGAGGTTTCTAACGCTGTATCACAAGTAGGGTCGTGATTTAAAATTTTCAATTTGGGGTTGCTGTGGCTTCACAGTGGAGGTGGAGGTGCGACCGACGCTTACCATGACATTTTGATTCCACCTAGAAACCACCGAAACGAGTTGGAGTGATTCTCAATAACTTTTTTAGCTTTAGGGATATTACCGATTGCAAATTTTAAAATTGACACCCTGTATAATTTAAGGACAGAAATGCAATAAATGTTTTCCAAATTACTTTTTTGATAAGAGACATACAAACACTTGGGACACATGTACTTAACATAGAATTAACAGAACAAGTTAAAATAATATATAACGTCAGCTTGGAGTTAGACATAACAATATTTTTGATAAAACCAGGCCATAGAGACATAAACATAAAATGAGCAAAACACATGAGACCAGCACAAACAACTAGATGAACACTGGATATCGATGTAACATTACATTGGTTGTGTTTTGCACCTCTGTCCTGACTCTCTTGTTGGCAGAATTAGCCATATTAACTGCATCTGGGGTTTCATTGCGTAGTGAACGACTTCCTTTACTCATTTACTTTTCACTTATAATTAGACGAGAGCTTTTTTTTCGAAGTAAACTTGACATTTTAATGAGAATTTTGTTTTTCTGGCAGTTCTTTGAGTTAAATTGCCTAAAGGAAACAAAACTGGAATTAAAAATGACAAGTTTTCTTCGTAAAAAAAAGCTTGAGTGTAATTACGACAATTTAATGAATACGTAAATCACTAAATTGACTAATAAGGTGTAAATTAGTTTATTTAATTTAATGGAAAGTACAATTATTAAAAACACAATTCTCATAAACAATTTGATTTTCAGAACTGCCTTGTTTTTTGTTAATAGTTTGCTGCATGCTGGTATTTTGAGCGGTGTTAGTAACTGTTTCCTCGATGGTAGTACGAATGGACCCAATAATGTCTCTATGAGGTTCTTGATCTAACTGAAGGTACGGTTTTAATGACCTTGGATTGTTATGTGCCGTAATTTCCACAAGTTTTTGTTCACCTATACCACTCCTGCACAATTCAGTTACGGCGGCAGCTCGATTAGAATGGTTCGTAATTTTCACCCGCTTGACATCAAGTCCAATACTTTTCCCTGAAGATTTGGTCCATTTAGAGATTTCATTTGTCAAATCGACGTACTTTTGAATTCACTGTATTGCGAAGCACATTATTGTTGATGGCTTTTTCAATTTCTGTACTCGAAGATTTTCCAAAGCGCGACATTTTCACAGGTTAGATACTGAAAATGCAAGTTTGAGAAAAATATGTTTTTTGTTTGATGATGCAGACCTACTAAATTCAGAGCTTTCAAAAGCTAGGTTCCGTTTTGTCGCTGTAATAGTTAAGGCAAACTTTTGTCGCTGGCATAGTGATAAAAACACCGCGGCTTATGGGATTTTTAGTGTATGAAAAAAATTGTCAACCTAAAACATAAAGCGGTAGGATAAAAAAAGTATCTTTGTAGGACCCATGACAACAATTCATAGGCATTAAGATTAATAATCTTCATCCACAGTCACTCTATAAAGAGACTTTATTCCACACTTTCGATGCGTATAAAGTACCAGTTTATCCACTAGTGGAATAAAGTAAGTTTATTCCACTGTTAGTAACCAGCGCATCGCGTAACATCTTACTACGTTTAACCGAACGCACATTTGGCGTGACGTTTAAATGTCATTTTAATTTTCAATTAAGTTTGGGATAATTTGAGCCTGTGATTGTGGATAAAACGTTATATTGCAATCGTGTGTTAGTCGCGTTTTATCCACTTAAGAAAATTAACCGCTCGAACTGACGTTTTCGCGGTTAAACATTCTTGCGTAAATAAAACGCTATCTAACACACTCTTACAATAAAATAAATAACGATTATGGTTTGACACTGTGCGAATTTTCAATTTTTGGCTTGTGTAAACACTATTATGAAATTAATAATAAAAGATGGCCATTGTACCTGTTGTGGCCACAATAAACTTTTAACGTACTACATTTAGCTGTTTGAACAGCTAACCAATCTTCCTCACACCTAAGCGAAAACATTCTGATGGTTAGCTATTCAAACAGCTAAATGTAGTTCGTTAAAGATTGATTGTGGCCACAACAGGTACATAAATTTAATATGACCACAAACGGTGCTTCTACCCTAATAATTTATATTAATTTATACACGTTTTTTGAGTAACTTTAACTATTTTTTTTTAATGAAAATTAACACTCACAAGTATGTTAATATCCACTAATTAATCTACCCCTAAAATTTGATAGGCAAGTACTTGTAGCGGTTTCTCCTCTCTTTCACCGATTGCACTTTTCTCTCCCTGTTTATCTCACAGTAATCTTATTTCGTTATATCACTATTGCACTCACCTAATCAAATATGCTTATGTCAAATCTGACACAGCATATGATTGAAGTCATAGAATAAACCTTAGTGAAGTGCTAAACCTCCACAAATTCGGCAGATCATGATTGCTGTTATAAAAAATATGATTATAAATGTCTATAGCAAACTAATAGGAACCTATCAGGACACATATAGTAAATTGTAAAATGTGTAAATAAAACATGAAATGAATATTTAATAGTTTATCACAAGCGGTTATTGATAATTAATAATAAAAAATATTACATTAATGCTTGAGGTTTGGAAATTACACTTGAAGCAATGAAAATCCATAATATTTGAACTAAAATAATAAATCCTCCAAAACAAAACTATTACTTTTTAAATTCAAAAAGCAGTTTACATCAAATGTATTTTAAGCAAAACAGATTCTGATTCTGTTGATTCTAATAACAGACTACTTAATTTACAGTATTTATTTATGACAGTGGGTGATCCTTTAACGGATCCATTGTAAAAATATTTAAAAATAGGTCGAAATCTTAAAAAAAAACAAAGTGTTCTGAAGGGGCCTTACAAGTAGTAAGTATATTTAGCTCGTCGCCAATTTCTGGCGACCTAGGCATCAATCAAAGACTGTTGTTTCGTTAGCTCTTTATTTATCACAGCCACTCTCGGCGGCGATACATACGTGACTGTCTTTTCATATTTATCGTACAAAAACTCAATGTGGCAAGCCAATGAATAACAAGAAATTAATAATAAATGATTCAGTAACATGAATTTATTTAGTTGGTCGATCTCCACAGTCATTGAATAAATACATTTTTAATGTAATTCTTAGTTAGTTGTTTAACAAAAAAACACTCACTCCATCTTGACAAAATAGTATGATATGTTATTAGAAGTAAAAGTGATTGTTTATGTAGCAAAGTCGAATGTTCATTTTGCCGAACGGAGTGAGGCAGATGATTCAGCTGAGCCATATAAACTTACTTTTACTCCAAATAACATATACTATTTTATCGGCAAATGATTCAGATGGAGGGAAAAGAGCAACACACCAATAATCAAGTAAATCACCTCAATAATCAGGACGCATTGCAATAAATCATAACAAACGTCACGCGTCAGTTTCGAAATTTGTGTTGAGATTTTCGTAAGTGTTGATTGATTTAACTGGTGAATAACTAGTGTAGTTTATAGTGCAAAATGTCGAATTCTGATAATCTACCTTGTACCTCTCCAGAAAATGCTGAAGCAGTGAAAGAGACAACATTGGTAAATTTCAAAGTAAGTGTCAAGTAAAAGTAAAAACGCTTAGACGAAAACCGTGTTTTTACTCCATGTCTGATAGGTAAAACTTTAACTTGTGTCAGCCAGTCATAAAAGCGTCGTTTTTCTGACGTTTGCGGATAAAAGATTTTTTATAAATAATAAATTTGACGACACCCTAGCCAACGGGGCAAACCATTTGAAACTAATTAATTATTGCAATAATGATAAACTTAAATTTATTTTTTTTTACTAAAATATTCAATCAATGAAAAATGAAATTTTGAAAATTGAAATATTCTTCTAAGATATGGCGGCAAACTTTCATGTACTAAACACTGGTTAATTTCAACAGTCACTAATTTTTGTAATATCAATCGTTTTACTTTAGCTTCTTGTTACTGCAGACAAATAAAAGTTCATGGAGGAGTAAGTATTTTTTTAAATGTTAGCTCATGCTTGAAGGATCTTTTATTTTACGTTAGTAAAAAACCAGCTGATTTTTCACAAACCTTTTTTTATTGATGAATAAGTTGACTCTTGATCTGCTTTTTAAAAAAACAGTATCCATAGAGTTAGTTACAAACCACAATAATCGTAACAGACTATCAAATAACAACAATGTAGAAGAAAATGACACAAACTCGTACACAAAATGTCATTCTTCAATGGGTCAATACCCAATTACCCAATGGTAATCAGCGAAACTTAGTAGTGGCACGCTGATGAGTCAAAAGTCAAACCACTTTCAGTTTTAAAAGGATCATAACACACATTATAGAATTAAATATCCTTTGGGTCGCCAACGACCTAGTGAGCGTAAATAGATTTTAATTAATATTAATTCAAGCATAACAGTTTTTTTTTAAAGATTGCTAGCGCTATAGTTTTCTATAAGATAGTTTTAACGCACTTCAATGAAAGGTTATTGGAAACTGTTTGTGAATAAATAGATTCTAGTTCCGTTTACATCTGACTATAAATATTTGTTTGTGTAGGAATTATTATTGATTAATACAGGAAAATTTTATCCTTGTGTTTGTTTGTTTAAGGTATTTAACGATACTGATGAAAATCATAAATTTATTATGGGAAGTTTCCATTAGGGTGGGAAACTAAACTAAATCAATCAACTAAATCAACTAAATCAATTCTTGAAAGACGACTGAAATAACATGTTTACAAAAATAAATTAAGTCTCATTTATGTTATTTGCCTTTCTGAAGTCACCCAGAAATATGGAAAAATCGTTAAAAATTGTTCCCTTGTCTTTCGGCAAAAACAACCTCCACAAGTCTTTTAGTAAAATGTTGATTGTTGCCCAAATTTTCGGATTTTTGCCGGTGCAAGGCATTCTAGGCCCCGATTATCGTTCTTTACATTTTTCTTGGAAGTCGGTCCGAGTTATATACTCAGTTGTTACACTTCTTGGAACTTGTCTTATCTCCAGTTTTCAAATTCAGAAAATCGCTACTGAAGGACTAGATTTATTGGAAATTAATCGATTGTTCTTTTTGCTGATCGGAGTTGCGGCCGCACTTTTCTACTTAAATTTAGCCAAAAAGTGGCCAATGTTTCTGAAGGACTGGTGTGTTGTTGACTCAAAATTTGCCAGTTATGGGTGGCCCAATGGACTCAACAAAAGGTTGCATATTTTAATGATGGTTTTCATGTTAACTGCTTTAGGTAAGCATTACTTGAGAATGTGTTACCCATTGGATAGAAACATTTTTAGTGGAACATATTTTGTTCCAAACAAACAAGCTTGTGTTATCTTTGGAATGCAATAATAGTACTGCTGAAGGCTTTACGTATTTTCTTAGTAATATGTCTTTTTCACATATTTTTTCCTTGGTGGAATATGATATTTATAAAGGTCTGGTTTTGCAAACTATAAATTTTCAGATTACTTTCATTTGGACGTATAACGATATATTTCTAATGTTGATAAGTACGGCCCTGGCTTATAGATTTGGCCAGATAACCCGAAGAATTGCATCGGTGGCTAAAGAAAAGGTATAGAAAAAAAAATCAAAGAAAAAATATTTGAGGAAAGTTTTAGATTAAAAATGAGTTTATTTGGAAAACTTTGCGAGAAGATTACACTAGACAATGCAGACTTGTAAAAAAAGTCGACGAAGAAATCGCTTATATTGTTCTATTGACATTCGCATCTGATTTACTATTTATATTAGTTCAACTTTTTAACAGTTTGAGACATATGAGGAATAATATACAACGATTATATTTCTGCTGGTCTTTTGGACTTTTAATAACACGAACTTTTTGTTTATGTCTATTCGGTTCTAAAGTTCACGATGAAAGCATTAAACCATTGTTAACATTGAATTCAGTACCTACCGAAGTCTATAATCTGGAGGTAAGTTCATAATGGTGAGAAAACGAGATTAAATCTTTGTTTAGATTCAGAGATTTATTCAACAAATTGCAAATAGTGATATCGCAATAACTGGAAAAAATTTTTTTAGTATTACCAGAGGGTTAATTCTTAGCGTAAGAGATTGACTGTGGAGAAAAATTGTGGTAAATAAATTATATTTTTGTAGATTGCTGGAGCTATAGTAACTTATGAATTAGTTTTAATTCAATTTAATGTTAATTTATTAAAGGAGGAACAAAGACAAGAAGGCGCTTGTCCAATTTACGTTTAATTTTACAATAAAACAAAATTAATTGAGTCAATTATTATTTTGTATTAATTAAAGTTGTTTAACGGGGAATGGACCGGGTAATCAAATTCAACACTTCAGCAGACGTTTTGGTTTAGAGAAATCACAGAAATTTCTAATGTTATACAGGCTGTTTCAACTAAACCCCACGTTAGAAGTATTGGGAGTTCTAACAGTTATATTCATCTAAAATTTTGATTATGCCATAATCGTTTATATCCTGCTCAATGAAAATATTTTTAAGATGGCAACACTTCTGGTTACACCGGAAATGGGTATCAACTTTGTTATTTTTAATAGAAAGTTATGTTTTTTGTTGCTTTTTTGGATTATTCGAGTGATTTTGAGAAAGTTTTTATCAGACTTCTCTATACCTAAATTTAAGCGTTTTTGAAAGATTTAGAGTTTTTGGAATTTTTTAAAATTGCATCTTCCTCTACAAAAATCGATAACTACTATTTTTTTATTATTTAGAAATTGTACTTGGGCATATGAAAAGAAAGATTATATCTTTCGTGTATTTATAATCAAACAAATTATTAACAAACCTCTAAAATTTAAGGTTACGTTTGGGAAACTTTAAATACTGAATTTTTTCTCCATTAAATGAAAGAGAATTTAATTTTGCATCGTTCTGTACCAACATTCCCTATACCTAAATTTATTGATTTCCAAGTTCTTTTGACTTTTTTTGCAGTGGAAGAAATTTATTACTATCCTTGGTAGTTTTCGCATAATTTGCAATGGAAATGTTTGTCACTGACTATTTCATTCATTTACATTTTGGCCAATAGCATCTCGTCATTCAACAATGAGTAAAAAATTTCAATCGATAAAATTGATGAAAACAAAATTTTATCACCTTCACCTCATATTTAGAGCCAATGAGTGAAGGGTATTTACGAACAAAATCGAAACCAAGCCAGTTTTCAAGTGATAAAATTTTACCTCATGGTAACAGTCTAGACAACTTCTGTCGTTTTAAATATTTTGATAGTTATTTTATTTAATTTGAAAAAAGAATGAAAACACGCGATTTGGGAATGTATCAATTCCTGACATTACACTTGCAAGTTCATTAAGTGTTCCCCAAAACACGATCAAGACGAAGGTTTGTATATGGAAGCAATTCTCTCAGTTCTGGCGAAGAAAGAAATTATGAGCTGACTGCCGATACTCCAATAAATCGTCTAGCAGAAATTTTACAACACTGGGCGTTTAGAGAGCTTACGAGGTACCTTATCAACAATACAGTCAGAAACTCATGTTTACAATAATTGTACATTTAATATTTATAATAAATAGTTGTAGACTTGAATGTGTAGTCTTATTCATGAAATAGTCCCCCGAATACCATTCGTGGTAAAATTTGGTCTGGCAAAATTTTTCGATTGATTTACTCRAGTTTTTGTTTGCCAATTTGGYTCRTGACATKGTTCAAAAAYCTCTCGTCTGCGACTCGAGGTTTTTCTAACAATGTCACTCGATAAATTGCTATGCAACAAACTCTCGTACAATCTGAAAATTTTGCCGACAAAATTTTAACACTTATGATATTACTACAGAAAAAACGCCAGGTTTTTTTTACAATAATTGTGTTTTTCTTTTCTTAAATACAAATTAAATTTATTTAATCTAAATTTGAATAACTTTGATATTCTATTTTTTTCTTATTTCTATGACAACCTATGCTATAAACTAGCTATGGCTGATGGATTTCTCACAATATCAAAAGAAGTTACTATAACTTTTAAACTATCAAACATAGGTATAAGGAATGTTAATACAGATCGATGCAGAATTAAATTTTCTTTCATTTAGTGAAGAAAAAATTGGGGTGTTTTATTTAGACGAATTGAGTTAAGGGTATTTGAAGTTTCCTAAACGTAACCTTACATTTTGACGGTTTGTTAATTATTTTTCCAATTATGAATACACCAAAGGAATAATCTAGCCTTTTCTCTCTCGTATACCTACCTAAATACTGTTTCAACATAATAAAAAATGGTTATCGATGTTTGAATGGGAAGATTGAAATCCAAAAAAAATTAAAAAGATCTAAATACTTCGAAAACGGTTAGGGAAAGCTAATGAAAACTCTCTCAAAATCACTTAAGTAATTCAATAACGCAATAAAAAACATAACTTTCTATTTAAAATAACAAAGTTGATATCTACTTCTGGTGTAACAGGAAATGTTGAAAGTATTTTCATTGAGCAGAACCTAACCAATTATGGCTTTAAAATTTTGATAAATGTCATTATTAGAACTCTGAATACTTCTAATATGGGGTTTAGCCGCAACAGCCTGTATAGGAAATACCACGTAACAATTATTGCAATAAATGCTATACATTGGACAAAATAAACAATATTTATGTAATAGCATATTATATATATATATTAGAAGTATTCAGAGTTCTAATAATGACATTTATCAAAATTTTAAAGCCATAATTGGTTAGGTTCTGCTCAATGAAAATACTTTCAACATTTCCTGTTACACCAGAAGTAGATATCAACTTTGTTATTTTAAATAGAAAGTTATGTTTTTTATTGCGTTTTTGAATTACTTAAGTGATTAATAATAATATATATATTATTCGTATGACAAAATAATTAATAATTTTCTTTATAAGTTGCGCTGATCATGAGAAAGCTGTGAATTACACTATTGTACTTAGTACAACTGATAAATGATACTCAATTTGCACTAGTACAGTTAATTACCCAGCTGCAAAACTCACAACCATCTTTATAAACTGTTAATTTTGCTTAAGCACTGAATTACACTGTCCGATAACAAGTGGATTCTTGTAAAGCCGCCTTCTAATTTAGTCAGTCGGCATTCTTCAACTATGTGTTCTACGGTTTCTGCTGCTTCTTTACACTGACAAATTGGATTTTCAACAGCATTCCATTTGAACAACATAGATCGACATCGCGCATGACCGGTTCTTATTCTGTTTAATTTCGTCCAAACCCATCTAGGTTGATCCATTCCGGGTACTGCAAGAGTTGGATCTTCTACCAGGTTCTTGTTAAAGATTTCCAGATTGTACCACTGCCTGCGCCATTCATCTTTGATGTTAAAAGTTTCAATATGTGGTATTTCCGTCCAAAAAGGTCTTCTAGACAGTCTATTTTCAGGGAATAATAGTTCTTCCCAGATGGAAAAATTTTCCTGGAATGCTTTGTATTTCACCCATAGCTTTTTCAGTTGTTCTTTTCTTCTAAGTGCAGGTGGTGAAATATGAGAAAGGACGGGCAACCAATCTGTTGGTGTAGATTTTATTGTACCAGTAATGATGCGCATCGCAGTGTTAAGCTGGACGTCAACCTTCTGTGTGTGGACACTGTTCAGCCATACCGAGCTACAATATTCTGCAGATGAAAACACCATTGCCAGAGCCGATATACGAAGAGTGTTTGCATGTGCCCCCCAGATGGATCCAGCGAGTTTGGATAAAATGTTCATTCGTGTTTTTAACTTTTGTTTTAGTTTCTCAAGGTGGCTRTTRTAGGTGAGAGATCTGTCYAGTGTAACTCCTAGATAGACGGGGTTATAATTATGTTTTAATTTAACTCCATTTATAAGGACATTCAGTTTTCTCTCTTTCTCTGAGTTACAAAGATGGAAACAAGAGACTTCTGTTTTAGATGGGTTAACACATAATCTCCATTTCTTAAAATAACCATACATAACATTGATATCACTTGTAAGGTGTTGTTCTAATTCAGTGAATTCTTTATGTTGATAAGCAAGGGCAATATCATCCGCATAGATAAATTTTTTCGACAATGTTGTTGGTA